CTCATGGACTCTCCCCTCCTCCTGTAGGCACCTGTTTTGCTTGCAGTGCTCAGGACACCCTGCATTCTTGTCACACCGGGCTCAGGACAGCTGAGTTCATTGGTGAGACATGTCTTCCTTTTGCGTCTAGCCTCCTGTAGTAAGTTTTTGGGGGGTTTTTTTGGATTATAATGGTGAGGGCTCTTCCTTTATTTCTCCTCTGGCCACTCTTTCCTAGCTGCTACCTAACACAAGCAGTAGCTCTGCCTTCAAAGACTGCCAGGGGACTCTATATGTTTTTAAGTTAAAGTGTTTAAAGAATGATGTGGGTTTGTTTTTTGTTTTTGTTTTTGATTCCCTACTTTACCCTTTTGACAAAAAAGTTTCTACCCTATGCTCCTAGGATGTGGTGCTCTGTAGGCTGTTTTAGATGTTTTTTGTTATTAGGTGCTGCATTCTAGGATGCTACAGGTCATACTTGCTTCTTCTGTTCACCCCCATGTAGCCTGGTGTTTGCTGCCTGGATGGACACAGGGAAGGGTGCTGCTGGGACTGGGGAGGAAGGGCATGAGGGCCTGGCTTTGAAGGGAGCCAATGGGAAGTCATCGCCTGTTTTTTGTGGGGCTGCTGCTGAGTCATCCAGCTAAAGGCAGACGAAATGAACCCATCTTTTCCTATGTGCTTTGGGGTCAGGTTCTGACTCTTTAGATAGAATCCGAGAATGCGTTGTTGATCTCTTCAGCACTGGCATTAGTCGAAGTTCCCTCGGGACTTCAGCGTCTGGTCTTCTCTTTATTTTCCAGCAGTCTTGCCAGTTTTCATCACTTCGTAATTCTTCACGAGTTTTATAATGGAAATTGGAATGAAGGCATATTAGGCCCTGCTGGTTTACCTAGAGACTAACTCAGAGGTCCTACCAATTATTTTACAGTAATGAATAGGAAAAGATTATATTAAGGGAATGATTCCATTATTTTTATATTACTTATTTCTTAAGTAGCTTACTTAAGAAATTTAATAAGATTCTGTAATAAAAATACACATGAAAAAATTTCCTCCTCATATATCAATTGAATTTCTTCTTCAAGTGTAGTCAAAACTTGATCATTTCCATGCCTGACTCTTTATTTGTGGTGATGTTTGCATGTTAAAACGGCTTTTCAAGGCACGTGGGATTTGTACAAACTCAGTATCACCCACACCTGCGTAACAAAGAACATAAGTACTGTAAGGGACTTATTTTGATAGTGTAATGGTTAAGAATGTGAACTTTGTGGTTAAATATGGTTCAAATCCCATCTTATCCATTAATTTTTTATGATCTTGGGAAAGTTACTTCCCATCTGTGAGCATCAGTTCCCTCATGTGTAAAATGTACTAGTAGTGGTACCTGCTGTATTGGCCTCACATGAGGATTTAGGGGAAAAACTATGTATAAAACAAACGCTTAGCTTGAATGAAGGTGATCACAATGATGAAGACACTTACTAAGGGTTAACGGGTTTCTAAAAATTTGATACTGCCTTACAGGGTGTGTCCTTTTAGGACGGATGGTCAGCAACCAGTGGTCAAAGAAATATGGAATGTAACAGCATTTAATTTATTTATGGGAAATGTTTTACCGCCCCACCCTTCAGCTAGTTGGAAAATGAAAGTCAAAAACTGGAAACTCTATTTATAAATGGACAGTGCTGTGATGTCAGTGTCTGAAACTGTAGACTTTTAGAAAATATTTATAGCATATTGGAAACTAGTCCCTGATCGGTTTCTCCTTGCTCTGTTGTTTTTAATTAATCCAGAAAATATGAAGTTTGAGGTAAATTAAAATGGAGTACTGAAATGTATCAGTCTTTAGGACAAGAGGATGGAGAAAAACAACTCTTAATAGAGGTATTTGAGTAGTGGTATTTGTTAATTGGGCCTTAATAATAAGCTAAATGAGAGAAAATACCAGACATTCAAGGAGGTGCTGAGGCCATGTCTACATTTCACTAAGGAGACCATCTAGCATAGAGGTTAGGAGTGGGAATCTGCCTGAGTTGCAGACCCAATTCTGTCACCTGCTTAACCACATGATCTCGTAACTCATTAAGTGCAGTGTGCCAAGGCTGTGTCTCTATCATAGTGTCAAGAATTAAATGAGGTAATACATATAAAGCATTGAAAATGGTACGTGGTATATCATAAATGCTCTATAAATGCTAGCCTCTGTTACTCTAACTAGCCTAGCCCAACCCCCCACTGTGACTCCAGTTTGATTGTAATGGACATGCATGACACATGCCCGTTTCGCTGGTGTAGAGGTCAGTCTCTGTCATTAAGTGGTCATTGTGAACTGACTGCCTTAGCCAGTAATGTGGGCTGGGCCCGATAAGCGCTCTGCAGCAGATATCTTTAAAAAGTCTCATAAGTGCCTACCTTATAGGAGCTAATTAGAGAGCTCTCCTTAGTTTCTGCCGACCTGGAGCACAAACAGTTGCCATAATAAAAACACCCCTTACCTTGTTTCACCTAAAAACAAGGAACTTGTGTGATTATTGAAAAATCACTTACTATAAACATCATCAGTCATTTTTCAGAGATTTACCTTTCACAATGGAATCAGCAGCCTAGTGAAGATAGCATTGCTTATACAGCTAAACTGTGCCTTGTGCCGAAACTGAAAAATAAGGAAAATTTCTAGATAACAGATTGCAATATGTCTCTTTTATATGTAGCTCATACTGAGTAGACAGTGTGATGTGTGACCTAGGTATATGACACTGATACTTTTCTAAAAAGAGACTTTCAGGTGTATCATAACATGTCTTAGAAATTTAAAGTTGTAGCTGCATCAACGTATTTCATAAGGAGAACTCTTGCCAGCAAGAATGGATAGGGACGTTAATGTCCATTGTATCTGCATATTATGCTTGTATCTGCATCTCAGGTTCTAATCCTGTATAATTTTTTCATGTCTGCAGAGTAAGAATCCACATTTTGCAATGAACATTGTTGTTTTTAAGCGAGTAGTTTACTCAGCACTTAAGACACCCCAGACCGTGCAAAGTGCTTTACATGTGTTGCCTCATTTAATTCTCGTAGCAGCCCTATAAAGTCTGTACTTTGATCTACATTCTGCTGGTGAGAAGAACAAGGCTCAAGTTTGGATGGCCAGTAATTTGTGGAGTTGAGATGCAAACTCTGAAAGGCTGTTAGTGCTGTTCTGCATCTGAAAAAGTGAGGCCTTCAGAATCAGCCAGAAGTAAGACCAGGAACTATTGAAGCAGTTGACATTGTCCACTTTCTAGTACTTTGGTTGTATGGAAATGAGACTTTGGAATAATGTACAAAAGAATAATGAAATACCACAATATTTGTAGTATAATATATAAGTACATATAGCAGCATATAGAACATAGAAGCTAACATATGTTGTAATATAGCAATAATCCCATAAACATTTTATGAATTTGATGAGGCCACAATTTACTCTGTAAGACTGTGGTGATCACACAGTTGATATGCTAAAAACTGTGTTATAAACATACAAAACCAAAATTATACCTTTGAGGAAGAAATGGTATCAAATGCTAAAATTTTTGTCCTGCAAATGATACTATCAGGAAAGCAAAGAGACAACCTGTAAAATTAAAGAAAATATTAACAAATTGTGCATCTAATAAGGGACTTGCATCCAGAAGAAAAGCAAAATGATGATAGTAGTTGAAGTTTTTTTGTTTTGTTTTTAACTAATTTAATTTTGTCGTAACATTTTCTTACATGGCAAATACAATGTTGCCAATCACAATCAAGATTTTTAAAAAATGTTATGGTCCTTAGAATCCCAAACCGCTGCTGTAGACACCTAGCTGTGAGCGTGGTGTATGGGTATATTGAGCCACCCGAAAACTTAGCTTCTTGGTTATAGCAGAAGCCTGAACAGGTTATTCAGGCATGTATAAACCCCAGGGATTTTTTTGTTTGTTTGTTTTTAAGGATTTTATTTATTTTTAGAGCGAGAAGAAGGGAGAGAGAGAGGGAGAGAAACATCAATGTGTGGTTGCCTCTCACATGTCCCCTACTGCGGACCCAACCCACAACCCAGGCATGTGCCCCAACTGAAAATCGAGCCAGTGACCCTTTGGTTCTCAGGCTGGCACTCAGTTCACTAAGCCACCCCAGACAGAGCTAAACCCCAGAGTTTTAACAGTTCTTGGCCACCTTCTGTTGGATTATCGAGTTGTCCACTGTTGTTTCCCAGTGATTGAGATTGTGTCTTATGCCTTCCATAAGGCCGGGTATACAGTAACCAAATGACCCGCTTATTTCACGCATGCCCCACATACGTCGGATGGTGACTCTGCCCCCAGTTTTTTAAGAGCACTATTTTGAGAGTCACACAACCCCTTATTTAGCCAATAACTTACTCTGTGCCTTCCTCATCTATAATATGAGGGGATTGGGCTAAGTGACCAAGTTTTTTTCAGCACTCTTATAGGTTGTGATTGTATTTGCGTATACCCTTTTTTTAAATGTTAAAGAAGTATATATATTTCACATGTGTTTGTATTAGATGAGTTATATGCATGTTGCCAGATGCAGAAGACAGTGTTTTTTCTCACAGAGGCTTATATTCAAAGGCACGTTGCATCTGCAGTACTGACGCTGCCAGCTTGGCCGATGCTCGTTCTTCATTTCACTGTGAGGATTCAGTGTGCAGTCTACACAGGGTGACTTGAGTTTTCCCTTCACTGGTGTTCAAATACAGCCCCATTGTCTGTTGCAAAAGGTCACATTTAAAAATGTGCTTGACATTGAAGCTCTCAGGTAAATGTCCAGTCATTATTATATTACAGATAAACGATGACTACTCAAAGATAGATGCACCAGCCAAAGAGTTTGGGGAATCTCTGAATTCATGACAAAGTTGTTAACTGGCAAGTTTGTTGTTTCCTTCAAGTATAAGAGTAGGAAGCATTGACATCATCCATACTCCTTTGAGAGAGGAAATTAATGTTGCCTAAAAAATTCTTTTCTAGTGAAGGACACCCGTCCCCCAGAATGGAGCTGCTGCACAACATCGACCCCGACTTCGTGGACATTTCTCCGTGTGAGTACCTCGTGCACTGCTGCTACGCCAGGTCTGTGTGGTCAGTTTTATTAGCGTGTGTGTCTCTGACCTTGCTTTCTCTTTTCCACTTGAGTTCTCTATAAAGGTAAATAAACACTGGCACCTGTTGTCCCAGACTCATTGTGGCTTTGGTGCTGCAGAGGCTGAACTCTCTTCTCCGCGCCGCAGCTCACTAACTGGATGCCCTGTAAGCCCCTTCCCTCTCCATGCCTCAGCTCTCCCGTCTGGGAAAGGAGAGCCCATCGACCTCAGAGGCTCCTTCTCACTGTGAATGTCATGTTGTTGCTACCCTGTTCTTCCCTGACAGTGCCAGGCTTCTTCCAGAAAACCCAAGGTCAAACAAGCCATCATATCATCTGAGCAAGTCAGCCAGGTGCTGCCAGGCACCTGCTGCATCTCACAGGCACGGCTTACTGAGCAATTGTGGAAGTGTTTTAGCATGATTCTGTCTACTGCCTGAATTAACCCACAGGTCACTCTTTTAATTCTTCAGGGAAAGAGGCCCTTGAACGCTGTCAGCTCCCAACAGGTTGTTGTAGTCCTGTATAGTAGCATCTGGAGGCCTTCCGGTTTGAGCCTGGAAAGCATGACCTATTACACCCTCTGCCCTGGTTCCGTCATAATGCCTCATATCAACACCCCATCTCAACACTTCAGAAAATAGTGCTCTGACATTTCCTTCCTTCACTTGGGTGCTCAGATCCCCTCCCTTCTGATCATAGTGCTGTCCCTTGGTTCAGTCTCCTTGCTTCTTTGTCCTCTCCAGTCTGTGCTAAAACCCACCGTGAGGTTTCCTCACTCAGAGAATGTCCCCTCAGTGATTCTGAACGTCTCACCTGGCACTTGCTGCCCAGCTCACCTCGCAGGCGCTCTCCAGGCTCCTTGCCATCTTCTCGCCGTGCTAGACCCTTGCCATTTCCAAGAACACAGATCGTTATACTTATGTTTAATTATGCATTTCCCTTTGCCTGAAGCACCTTTCCCTGCCTCTCCACAATTTTTCCTCATCCCTTAAAACTCTATCCACACGTCTCATCTCATCCCTGTGAATGTTTTCCTGAAGCCCCGGAGGAAGCAGTCGTTCCTTCCTCTGTGCACCCACCTGGGCATCTCTGCATAGCCTTCATCAGATTCCCCAGTGTGTGCCTTCAGGTCCCCCTAAGCCGTGAGCTCCTGGAAGTCAGGATCTATGTCTTATTTATCTCTCATCCTCATAAGTTAACACAAAGGCCCACACTTAGTAGGCGCTCAGTAACAATGACTTGTTGACTGAATGGTGGAGAGTTGGGATGGAATAAAGATCAAAGTGGAAGCATTAGACTTAGAAAGGAAAAGGCCTTGAGACCGGTTGGAATGGCTCCATTATGGAGGAATGTTTGTTTCTGTTGTGGTTCACTAGTGCACGTGAGAGAGGCAAAGGAGGTTGTGTGTCTGGTCTGGCAGCCACTAGCCATACGTGGCAATTGAACACCTGAAATGTGGCTAATCATGGATCGAAATGTGCTGTAACTATAAAATACACACCAGATTTTGAAGGCTTAGTGTGAAAAAGTAAAACATTTCATAATATATATTTACAACTTGCTAAAATAACATACCTTGGATATGTTGAGTTCAATGTATTATTAATGTGAATTTTAACCATTTCTTTTTCTTTTGTAATATGACTAATAGGAGAATTTTAAGTACTTGTGTGCTTCTAATGGTCTAGAAGGATTATTCTAGAAGGTGCTAGGAAACCATTTGGTCAGCCGCATAGGAGAGTCACAGCCGTGGTGGTTGCTGTCAGGCTATAGCATCGCGGTTTTTAGGGGTTCCCCTGCCCCAGCACATCTGTGGCTCCGGCTCGTCCCACTCTGTGACTGCGTCCCCAGAGCAGAGATTCTCCACCGAGGGCCAGTGTATCAGAATCTCTCAGGGTTCCCAGGGGGAAACCAGGGAGGGTGGGAGGGGTTCTGAAATTTTCTGAGTAATTTAATGCACTGCATATACCCAGTGTCAGATCCAGCATTGTGCTGAATGTGCTGCCCACATTGTAATGACTATAAACTGTTCTTACTCATTAAATCCCGTCTATAAATGAAAAGCTTTAAGCCCCCTTCACTCGCTAAGGTATGTTTTGTCTTGACACCAGAAACGGGAGCTTTTGAGCTCTTTTCCTGTGTCACCTGGCCACAGCACCGCTCGCTGTGATCTTCGCTGTCTTCCCTGCAGCTTCCTTAGCTCGTGCGAAGTTCACAAAGACATGGAAGTCAATGCAGAGTCAGCTCAGCTTTGCTGCCCAGCCACCCATACACTGCGAGGTCTTGAGCAAGTCCCTTCACTTTGCTCGAGATTTCACTTTGTCCCACACATGAAAAGATGGACGAAGACCCTTTACTGCCGTCAGACATTTATGGAGGGCGTCTTGCCGCCTGCCCACCTCCCCCCACTCCTTGCAGTCCACTCCAGGCCTTCCCTGCCAGCTTGGGATTTCTCTGACTTCTCTGTGTAGTGAGGGACAATGTCGGTTCCTGACATTGACAAAGAACTACACTCACTGTTTGTCCATAAAAGCAGGGCAGCATTCTGTACTGTCCGTGCCTGCAGGCCACTGAGTGCCACCTCTTAGTCATACATGGGTGGCACTGTGGGCCTCTCCTCCCAGTTTTCATATTCATTTCAACCCGCTGTGCAGCAGTTGGAGAGAGGAGTGTTATGTGGGTGGGGCACAGGAGCTGCTCCTTTATTGGATGATGGTACAAGCCCATTTCCTTTTCTATGCAATTAATTTGTAGGGAAAAGTCTGCAAATCCTATTTATAGAACCTGTTTCTTAAATATGTTCTAGAGACTTCTGTGGAATGAAACACTTCCTTGCCTTCTAACTCCAGCACTTCCCGGATCAGGTGTACTTACCTACAGCAGATGAGGGTAGAGCTCTACCTACACATTCCCAAAAGCCATTTCATTGGTTTCCTCATCTGTGAAGATTGATTAAATATGTCTACATTTCCTTCCAGCTTCAACATTCGGAGGAGCGCTGTATAAGTAGGACCTTACATGAGCAAAGCTGCTTCCTCAGTTCCTCTCCTTCTCGCCCTGCTGGTAAGGGCACCCTTGCTAATAAGCAGTGAGGCAGCCAAAGGCGTGGTCATCATCGGTGAATACAAGTGAAAATGCCAGAAACACTGAAAGCACTAGAGTGATCTGAAATGTCATATCATTTTGTTATTACTGTATCCTGCCCACCTTTCCAGTCCCTGTTCTGAACATCACTACATCAATCAGGTTTTCCACCCGCTCTCTCTCTCTTTTGGTTGGTCTTGTTGGGTATGGTGGCCCCGTGCCTCCTCTGGTCACGAATAGACATTAGGCGTTTCCTAGGGAAGCCCCGCCTCCGGAGTAGCTCCACATCCCCTCCCGGCCTTGCCTCCTGGGTTCAGCAGCCACAGCCCCTCCCTTTCATTCGAAGAGTACAGGGCACCCCCAGAGGCTCTTCTTACAGGGTTTTCACGGCCACGTACCCTTGGTGGGTTGTGGCTGGTATACCATCTGTCCTCTTTCTCCTCACCAGTAAAAGTAATAGAATGTGTGTGTTCACTACAAAAAAAAGAATGTGGTTTGATGACATTTAAGGGACATTAAAATTCCACTTTTTGTAGAATATGTTGACCTTTTAGACTGCTGTTTAATTACTGATGTCTAATATATCCACAGTGCATTGGTCATACTATATGTTAATGGTCACATAGACAAACTGTAAAACCATGAACAAAATGAACCCCAAGTAGGGTAGAGCAATAACTGGGTTCCCCAGACCTCCCGGAGAGACAAAGATGTTCGCAGACCCATGGCCTCTCGGTTCAGCCCGTCCTGACTTCCCCGTGAGTCCAGGGCACCGCCTCTTCTTGCTGTTCTCTCAAGGATCCTGCCTCCCTGGCACGTTTTCTTTCATGGTTGCGTTGGTTACGGGCCCTCTCAGAGCCCCTAGTCTGGCCCCACTTTTATCTCCCCGGCCCCCGTGGCCCGTGTCACACGTGTGGGCTGCAGCTGCTTTCCTTGGTGCTTTGAGGACACTGTTTATGCACCTTCGGAGGCTTTGTTCGGACATAACCTCGGACAGACATGTTTTGGGCTCTGTCCAGATAGTACTTTTTTCTCTTTCCTCCTTCCTCAGACTAGGTCCTAAGGATTATTTATTCCCGCATGCCTTTAAAATATTTTTTTCTAGCAGGTGGACCTAGACTCAGTGTCTTTTTCCAGCAGTACAGAGGAGGCCGTGAGGGAAACCTGAGAGAGGGCCTGAGGGAACAGGATGGTGCCATGGAAGCTGATTTATGGGGAAACCTGGAAACGCCCAAAGCAGTGGGGGGCATCCACCATCCCGAGTGAGGCCCAGATCCTGCAGGCGCGAGTGTCCGCTGGAGACACACTCCACACTCTGTTCCTTTCCTGGGTTCTAGCTAGCATGCCCCAGACCAGAAGGAAACGTTATTTCAAAAGCATTCCATCCACCTATAGGCTCCGGGCTTGCTCTGGGCTGCTCTGAGGTAATGACCCTGCTCCTACAACCCACCTTGGCAGTCAGATGTGCCGTTCCGTGCACCGTTGGCATTCTCACGTACCTCTGACTGTGTAACACACACACATACCTGACACACGTGCACACATTTAAAGCACTCGTTCTGCTGATAGGGCTTGATTACAGATGAAGGGCACTGACAGATGTTAGCATTTTCCGTACCACCAAGGGCCAAGTCTTCAAAGTGATTCTGTCCAGCTTTGTTACTACTTCATTGAAAGGGCCTCCTCTCTTTAAAGGTTATAATGAGATGTTCTTTCTGCTCATGATTACAGGGTGAAGGAACAGTCGTCCCTCCCTCTCCTCTCTCACACACTCATTTTCTGCAGTAAAATTGCCAAATCTGTACTCGAGATCCAAGAGTCATCCAGGTTTGCATGCTTGGAGCTGCTCCGTTTCCTCTTTAGAGAAACATT